AAGCTGTGGCTGCCCCATCCCTGGAATGTCCAAGGCCAGGTTGGAAGGGGCTTGGAGAAGCCTGGGATAGTGGAAGGTGTCCCTGCCCATGGCAGGGGGTGGAATTCCGTGATTTTGAAGGTCTCTTCCAACCCAAACCTTTCCATCATCCCCTCAATGTCCCTTTTCCTGGCACGAAAGGGTCTCAGTGTGTTTGCCCACACCCACGGCAGCAATCCAGACTGGCTGGAGTCCTGCTCTCCTTCATTCCCTGTCCTTGGGAGCAGGAAGGTGTCTCCTGGAGGTGGGGCTGGCTGTGGAGCTGAGCTCAGCACCAGTTGATGACTCCTCTTCCCACATTATGGATGTCTCGAGTCTCCGCTCAAATTAAACTTCCTCAGTTTCTCTCTGGGCATTCCCCGGCTTCCCTAACTGGGAGGAATCCTGGTGGTGACTCCTTTGTGGCCAAAACTGGTCTTGGACATGGGCCAGCTTGGTCCAGTCTTGGGCAGCTGAGCTGTGGAGCAGCCTGTGGGATCCAGCCAGGTTCTCCCAGTATCTCCAGGAGCTTTTCCTGCAGTTCCTGCTGGGGCTCTAACTCCCAGTTACCAACCCCTTCCTCATTTCTTTGGAGAGATCCATGCCTGGATTTTACCAGCACGTTCCTGATCTGTGCTAGTTCTTCAGGAGCTGGATCTGCATCTCCATTTCTCTCTTCCTTGAAACTTTAACAGCACTTCCAAGGATCCCCTTTTCCCATCCCACGTTTCACTTAATATCCTCCAGTTTCGTTTCTTCTCTGTAGCTTCCAGCTACAAAGGAGCAGAGACAATCCCTTTGTCATGGAATTACTGGCTTCCACATCTTCCTGCAGGTGATTCAGTGTCCCCGGTGCCTTGTCTTTGTCACTGAGGTCACAAATCACTCTCAGGGTGTGGCTGTCACCCAAGGCTTCATCTCCTGGGGGTGCGAAGTTCAAAGTCCACCCTGAGTAAACATTCCCTAAGGACTCCTAATTGCCCTCCTGGATGGGCCCTCTGGAACTGGGAGAGGTGGCTGGAAGTGACAAAAGCCCTTGAGCAATTCCAAATGTTCCCTGCAAAGATAAGGCTGGGGAATCTTTGCCCTCCCTTAAAGGAGAGCTTGATTCTGCTCTGGAAAGGGTCCTAGGGAATCTTTTTTTCCCCCTCATGTGGAGAGCCTGGATGAGGATTTTTGGTTCCATTGTCACTTCCATGTGAGGCATTTCCCCTGATTTTTCTGGGCCTAAAGAGCCTTATTCCAATAAACTCATTGGATATGGGTTGGAATGGACTCTGTTGGGATCACAGAGTCCAGTGTTTGTCCCTAATCTTGCTTTGCCACAGGTGATAAACAGCAGGGCTGGCCACACCTCACTCATTTTCATGGATGTCTGATCCATCATTCCCTGTGTACAAACAAAAGCCGCTGTTCCATGGCTCCTCCACAATTTATGGAAGAGTTCTGTGCTCATTCTTCCTTAAAAACCTTTAAACCGGGAAGGAAAAGTCTGATTATCTCCAGAGCCCCTTCTTAAACCCCCCAAATTGCCTTTTCCAGGTGTCCCCAGGTGCACCCCAAAGCCTGGATGAAAGAGCCTCTCTTTCTTCTGACCTTACAGGGGTGACCTTGAGGGCTTGAGCAAAGAATTCAGTGAGGAAAATCCCTTTTGGAACCCAACAGTGGGATTTTGGTGGGATTTTTTTTTTCCCCTTTATGTAAGTCATGTTTAAATCCCTGGAAACTCATTCTGTGGTTTTTAGTTTTCGGCTGGAACTCTGACAGGAAAAGCTTTGGGATCCTTTGAACTGTTAGAAGGTGGAATGCTCTTCACTTGACTCCTTATTTTCCTCGTTTATATTTGGATTTAAAGATGGCCTTTTATGCTTTCCTGGAGCCATATTTCCTCCTTACTCTAAGATTTGTGGAATTACAACATTCCTGTGATGCTCCAGGAGCTCCTGCAGATGGGGCTTGGTTGTTCCTCATGGAATGATGTTTCTATTGATCCATGCAAGCCAGGGATGATTTTTTGGGATCGAGGCAGAGCCTCTTGAGGGAAGGTGTGCAGCAATCTCATATTCCTGCACTTTTCCAGCCTCATAAATGTAGAGGAAAGCAAAATGTGTGGAGATCACGAGAAATCCTTGAATTCCTGACTTAACCTTGCAAGGCTTTGGGTTTATATCAGGGGCTCCTGGTTTTCCAGCACCTTTTTGCTGCTGGCTTAGGAGCCTGGATAGGGATTGAGAACTCATCCCATTAAATCTGATGGAGAAGCCAGGAAAAAAACCTCTCAGCTCTGCAAACAGCTTTAGTGCTTCCCAGCAGGAGAAGTCAAATCAATTTGCTAAATCCTTTCATGGCTCTTGCAGCGAAGAGGTTTTAACCCTCTTGGAATATCTGCTGGAGCCATCCCAGTGTCTTCTGCATCCCACTCCTTTCTTTCCTTCATTACTTTCCTGTTTTCCCTCCAGACAAAAATCTTTATTTTGGGTTTGGATAATCCTTCTACTTGTGTCTTTTCTATCATCCCACCTGCACTTCTCAGGCCTCTTCCCTGTGTCTCCAGGTGGTTTTTGCTCCTTTTCCTCACAAAAATTCCCTTAAAATCCTCTGGCTGCTTCTAAATAAGTCTTTGCCAGAGATGGAAAGGACTCCAGGGTGCTGGAGTTTGCAGGAAGAGATGGAGTTGGAGAAGAGAAACTTCCCACTTCTTGAGTTTGCATGGATTTCTGTAGCTCTGGAGGCACAGAGAGGGAACCTGGAACTGTCTCATTTGCATATATTTGCATACATTTGTCTCTGGATCTGTTAGGCTCACAGAGATCTCATCTTGAAATTTGAAATTAAACCTTGAAATTTTAATGAGCACCTTCTCTTTATATCTTGGCTTGATTTCCTGATCCTTTTCCCTTTTTCCTCTGATTCCTAGATTGTTTTTCTCCCTAGAGAGCCAACAGGATGGGTGGATTCCCCCCAGGACAAATCCAAAAGTGACAAATCTGGATCAAACTTTCCCCTATTTGCTCCTGAGTATTCCAGACCCAATATTTATGCAGCTTTTGGGGTGTTTTCCTCAAATCCCACTGCATTTCCAGAATAATTTGGATCTTATGCTTCCAGCTTGTTCCTTTAATCAAATTCATGGATCCCTGTAAAGTATTAATCCCACAGATTTATGGACCAGCTGGAGTCGCTCTGATTCCTCAGTCTCCAAGGGACCAATTAGGAGCTCCAATCTTTCCCTTAAATGAAAATCCCACTGTTAATCCCAGGCCCTTTTCCAAAGGAAGCAGCACTCATTGGACTTTGAATATGAGGAATTAATTTTAAGGAAGCTGAAGTCTATGGAAATGCAAAATCTTCCACTTCCTCCTTGCCGCGTCCCATCGGAGAGGTGATCAGGCATTCCATGGAATTGTGGAATGGTTTATGTTGGAAGGGGCATTAAAGATCGTCTCATTCCATGGGCAAGGACACCTCTCACTGTCCCAGGTTTCTCCAAGCCCCATCCAGCCTGGCCTGGAACACTTCCAGGGGCATCCACAACTTCTCTGGGAAACCTGTGCCAGGGCAGGGCCTGGAATGAGATGATCCTTAAAGTCTCTTTCGACCCAAACCATTCCATGATTTTGGGATCTTGATCTTCCCATGATTTGCAGGCTCGGACCTCTCCATGCTCTTAAACTTCCCAGCTTTGTGCCTTCCCAACCAGGGATTTTTTTATCCAGGGATCTTCCAGAGGCTCATTCCATGCCTCTGAATCTTCAATGGGAAACATCCCCACTTGGGCAGAGCTCTTATGGCCCTGGATTTGGGGATGCCCCATTCCCTGAGGCATCCCATAATAATGCTCTGAGCCAGAGGGAAATTAGGTGGCTGCTATTTCCTGAAGTCAGGAATTCAGTGTTTTCCCTGTCTGCAGAAATTCCGAGCCGGAGCCGCGGAAAGGATGGAATCAATTTAGTGCCGTGAGCCCCTCATTCCTGCATCCCCGTGAACTCCTGACTCCCTGTGCTCCACATCCTGGAGATGGCCTCGGGATCACCTTTCTTCCTGAGCTTTGGGGTCATATTGAGCTCATCTCCAGCCCCCCTGGGATCTTGGCTCGTGTCCAGAGCCTGGGATGGGGATGTGGAATTCCTGTTCAGGACTGAGTTTGGGAAGAGCTCAGGGGAAAAAAAACCCTGCTGGCAACACGTGGGATTGGGGAATAAAATGGTTATTCCAGGGGCAGGGGAAGGTCTGGGGAGTGAGAAACTCAATGTGACCTGGTCATGTCGCATGTGCTCGCATCCCAGAAATTCCCCCTCTCCCAGGCTCATCCCACAGGGTGGGCAGCAGGAAAAGGGGAATTCTGCCCCTCTGCCCTGCTCAGGTAATACTCCACTTGGAATTCTGCATCCAGCTCTAGGTTCCAACTGCAGGAGGATGTGGAGCTGCTGGAGCAATTCCAGAGGAGGTCCTGGAGATGCTCCAAGGGCTGGAGCCAGGCTGGGAGAGCTGGGAATGTCCAGCCTGGAGAAGGGAAGGATCCAGGGAGACCTCAGAGCCCCTTCCATTGCCTAAAGGGGCTCCAGGAGAGCTGGAGGGGGACTTGGGACAAGGGATGGAGTGACAGGACACAGGGAATGGCTTTAAACTGGAATAGGGTGAGATTATATGGGATGTTGGGAAGGAATTCTTCCTTGTGAGAGTGGTGAGGTTATGGAATGGAATTCCCAAAGAAAATTTGGCTGCCCCATCCCTGGAAGTATCCAAGGCCAGGTTGGAGCAACCTGGGACAGAAGAAGTTGTCCCTGCCCATGGCAAGGGGTGGAATTCCATGATCTTTAAACTCCCTCCCAGCCCAAAGCATTCCATGACTCCGGGCTCTGAAAGTGCACAATTTACGGAATTGATGGGATTTTTTTGACTCCCAAAACGTGGATTTGGGATGAGAACCTGCCCTTGTCTCTCAGCAGGGCTGTGACCCCTTTGCCCAGACCCAGCGCAGCAAACTCCAGCACCGCCGGGCCCGGATCAACCAACAGATCAACAAGGAAATGAGGATGAGAGCGGGAGCAGAAAACCTCTTCCGGTGAGTCCTGATCCCCTGGGCACCCCCCTGGCTCTGGAATTTGGTTGGAGGGAGGAATAGAGTCTTGATATCCAAGATTCAGCTGCTGGAAGATTGTTAAAAATGAGGATGGGAGCAGATGGGATAATGGGAATGAACTTGTGGCTGAGGTTGGGCTTGGAATGCAGAGGTCTGGTCTGAAAACCCAGTAAGTGGATCCAAGTGATATGGAACTGTTGGAGTGAGTCCAGATGTTCCAAGATTTGGAGCCCATCTGCTCCAAAGGAACCAGGATGGGAGCTGGGAATGTCCAGCCTGGAGAAGGGAAGGATCCAGGGAGACCTTGGAGCCCCTTCCATTGCCTAACGGGGTTCCAGGAGAGCTGGAGAGGGACTTTGGACAGGGGATGGAGAGACAGGACACAGGGAATGGCTTCCCACTGCCAGAGGGCAGGGATAGATGGGATTTGGGAAGGAATTCTTGTCTGTGAGGGTGGTGAGGCCCTGGAATGGTATTCCCAGAGAAGCTGTGGCTGCCCCATCCCTGGAAGTGTCCAAGGCCAGGCAGGAAGGGGATTGGAGCAACCTGGGATAGGGAAAAGTCCCTGCCCAAGGTAGGGGGGTGGAACTGGAGGTTTCTGAAGATCCGCCCCAAACCATTCCATGAAATCCAGCGTTAGGATCATAAATAGCTCAGAAAATCCCATCAGGATAGAGTCCAACCATTCCCACAGCACTTCCAAGGCCACCACTTGTCCCCAAGTGCCACATCCACAGGGATTTTATCCCAAGGACAACTTTTTTTAGCATCGTTTGTGTTTATTTCACTTTCCCTTAATATTTGGAGCACATTCCAGGCTGGGAGGGTCATTAATATTAAAAATCCCATAAATCTGCCTTAAAATACAAATTTTTTGGGAATATTCTACTAACTTGTTGATTGTTTTTATCCCAAATAAAATAAAATAAAATAAACTTTTCATTTTGGAACTGGAATGATTTAACATCAATGGAGTGTTCCTGTTGCACCTGGAAGAAGGGGATAATGGTTGATCCATTAAAAAAAAAGGTGTTTTCCTGGGGGATGAGATCCCACTGCTCCATCCACGCTGCTGTGCCTCATTTAATTAAAGAAAAAAAGCCACAGAATCCCAACTTCTGCCTCTCCTGTGCTATATTAAAAAAAAAAAAAACAAACAAACAACAGAGGGAAATGTGCTGGCTCAGCAGAAATCAGCCTGGTTTCGGTTGGAATTGGAGCTGTGGGAAGTGGGAGTGAGGAAAAACGGGATGCAAAACACATCTTAATTATCAGGGAAATGCACTGAGGGGGCTCTTTTTTTGCTGGCTCAGCACTCTGGGTGTCCTTTGGAGCAGCCACTTTCCCTCCCTCCTGCCCTCCCACAAATCCAGCTGAGTAATAAAGTTGATTTCTCGGCATTCCGGTGCTCCAAGCTTATGAAACTTTGGAAAAAGGAATAATCAAGCTTGAAATTAAAGGATGAGGAGGAGGAAGGGGGGGGATTATGTTGCAAGTCTAAAGGTTATTGCTTCAAAATTAAAGATTTGTGGTGCATGAATAAAATTCCTTTGGATCTTTAGCCTGGTGCTGGTGGAAAAAACTGTGGATTGTCCAGCCTGGAGCAGTTTAGAGCTGAATTTGCTGGGATTTTGCCTTTAAATTTAAAAACAAACTAGCCTGATGCTTGGTAAAAGTAATCCTTTTCAGCCTTTTCATGTTTTTTCCTGGAAAAGCTGGCAGGAATGGGGTGTTGGGAAAAAAAAATCTATGTGGTATTTGATCAGTGGATTTCTTTGCTGGGTAAATAAATGGGAAGACCCAGAGGAAACCTTTTCCTTCCTGTTCAAACACTGGGATGGAGTGGAGGAATGGGGGAGATAAAAATGTCCAGGTTTTTGGAACGAAAGAAAAATAAATCACAAAATAAATCCCAGAAATTCCCTGTGTCCTGGGCTCATCCCACAGCGTGGGCAGCAGGAAAAGGGGAATTCTGCCCCTCTGCCCTGCTCAGGTGAGATCCCACCTGGAATTCTGCATCCAGCTCTGGGGATCAGCTTCAGGAGGATGTGGAGCTGCTGAAGCAGATCCAGAGGAAGCCACAGAGATGCTCCAAGGGCTGGAGCCAGGCTGGGAGAGCTGGGAATGTCCAGCCTGGAGAAGAGAAGGATCCAGGGAAACCTCAGAGCCCCTTCCAGTGCCTGAAGGGGCTCCAGGAGAGCTGGAGGGGGACTTGGGACAAGGGATGGAGGGACAGGACACAGGGAATGGCTTTAAACTGGAATAGGGCCAGATTAGATGGGACATTTAGAAGGAAATCTTGGCTGTGAGGGTGGTGAGGGGCTGGAATGGAATTTCCAAAGAAGCTGTGGCTCCCTGATCCCTGGAAGTGTCCAAGGTCAGGTTGGACAAGGCTTGGAGCGACCTGGAATAATGGAAGGTGTCCCTGCCCGTGGCAAAGGGGTGGAATTCCATGATTTTGAAGGTCTCTTCCAACCCAACCCATTCCAGGATTTTCTGCTGTGTGTGGCACTTGCAAGCACCCCAGGAAAACTTTTTTCCTGGTAACAGACTCCTGGCAAAATTATGGGCAGATCCTCCTGGAAACTGTGCTAAGACACCTGGAAAATAATCAGGGGCCTGCTGAGAGACAAAACAAAAAATTGTTGGCAGCTGGGAACAAGGAGAGAAAACTCTCCTTAATCCATATGGGATGAAAATTGGACTGACAGTGTCCTGGAGATGTTGGGATGTGTGGGGGATAAATAGGAATTAAGTCTTGGTTTATAGGGATTAAATACTGGTTTATATGGAAACATAAGGTGACAGTGCCTGGGGAATTGCAGGAATGCTGAAGGATTTTTCATTGGAAGAGCCATGGGGATCTTTGGATGTGCTGTGGTTTGGTTTGTTTAGAATCAAAAAATCCTGGCAAAGGAGAGGCAGGAGGAGACTCTGAACCACCAAATTTTCAAAGGAAAACCCTGGAGCTCCTTCTGCTGCCCTGAACCAGGGCAGGGCAGGACCCAGAATGATTTAATCCATAAAAAATCCATGTCAAAGGCGATACTCTGGAAAAGCTGGAGGGAAGCAGTTTCCTGGTGGAGCAGAGCTTGTCCATGTGTTGTTTTCCCTGGATCCCAGCGTGGTTCAGCAGCCAGAGCCCCTTTCAGCTCTGGGTTATCTCTCCCTGCTTTCCTCTGGAGGAGATAAGCAGGGAATAATCAGCCTGGGAGCTTGTCCTGCTGGGAACAGCTGGAATCAATCCCTGGTGTTTACAGTTCCTGCCGGGAGCTGGGAAGGGAAGGCAGGAGCTCACAAGTCCTTTCTTTTCCACAAGGATTCTTTGCACCCAAAAATGAGTTTTTCCTCCTCAAATTTCACAGTTTATTTGGAATGGGGGAGCACCTGGACTGATCACAGCCCAAGCTGGAACTGCACTGGGGGTGAAGTGGGAATGGGCAAGGGGAGCTCTGGAGCAGGAATTCCTGGATGCTGCACTGCAATGAGTTTTGCCTGGGCTCAGCCTCTGCCTGGATGTTCAGACTTCTCTAATCCCAAAATGCTGGGAGAGCTGGGAATGTCCAGTCTGGAGAAGACTCCACGGACACCTCAAAGCTCCTTCCAGTGCCTAAAGGGGCTCCAGGAGAGCTGGAGAGGGACTTGGGAAAAGGGATGGAGGGACAGGACACAGGGAATGGCTTCCCACTGTCAGAGGGCAAGTATGGATAGGATATTGGGAAGAAATCCTTCCCTGTGAGGGTGGTGAAGCCCTGGAACAGAATTCCCAGAGAAGCTGTGGCTGCCCCGTCCCTGGAAGTGTCCAAGGCCAGGTTGGATGAGGCTTGGAGCAACCTGGGATAGTGGAAGGTGTCCCATGGCAGGAGTTGGAATGGACCCTCAGAGGTCCCATCCCACCCAAACCTTTCCAGCATCACCTGGAGACCCAGAGGCACAATTCTGTGGAAAGGCTGGGCTCGATGCACATGGGTTGCACCACTGGGTAACTGAGTCTGGAGTGGAAAACATAAATTCATGGATAAAAAGAGGGAAATTTGATCCGTTGGTTTCTTGCAGGGCCACCAGCAACCACAAGGTGAAGGAAACGGTGGCTCTGGAGCTGAGCTACGTCAACTCCAACCTTCAGCTCCTGAAGGAAGAGCTGGAAGAGCTCAACAGCAGCATGGACGTGTATCAGAATGAGAGGTGGGTCTGGGAAGAGCAGCCTGTTCCCTTGGGATTTCATTTTCTCCTCTGTTATGGAATTTTTCTGGGAGCACAGCTGCTCTGGCCTTGTCCGCCCTACTCTGTCCCATGGCCAAGGGTTGGGACGACCTTCAGAGGTTCCCTTCCAACCCAAAACCTTTCCATGGTCATGGACAACAAGGTGGTGGCTGGAGGATGGGGGAGGATTTGGGTATGGGCCAGAATTCCTGGAAAACTTTCATCCTGGGAATGTCAGTGGTTCCCTTCTAGAGCTGCGAGGAGAAAAAAAATCAGCTTTTCCTAGGGGGATACTGGGATGTTTTGGGATAGATGTAGCATCCTTTGGACACTGATGTCCCAAAGCTGGAGGAATAGGGAAGAAAGAACCATCTTCCCTTGTACTGACCTGACAATCCCACCAGAGCTCTTCCCAACAGGACATTTTGGTGATGGGAATCACCATGCCTGGAAGTGCCCAAGGAATGACTGGATGTGACACTCAGTGCTCTGGGCTGGGGGGGAATCAGTCACAGGTTGGACTCAATGGTCTTGGAGGTCTTTTCCAGCCCAAACAATTCTGGGATGCTGGGATTTTTTCCTCTTTTTTCCTTCCTGAGGTGGGTGGTGTTGGATGGCAGCGTGAGGTGTTGTGTGGGTGACATGGCTGAGGGATGGGATGGGATGGGATGGGATGGGATGGGATGGGATGGGATCCAGAGGGACCTGGATAAGCTCCAGAAGAACCTCATTAGGTTCAACAAAACCAAGTGCAACATCCTGCACCTGGGATGGGGCAATTCCAAGCACAAATCCAGGCTGGGCAGGGGGGGAAGGGATGGAGAGCAGCCCTGAGGAAAGGATTTGGGAGCGTTGGCGGATGAAAAGCTGGAAATGCCTCATCCACATGTGCTCACATCCCAGAAATCCCCCCTGTCCCAGGCTCATCCCACGGTGTGGGCAGCAGGAAAATGGGAATTCTGCCCCACTCACATGAGATCTCACCTGGAATTCTGCATCCAGCTCTGGGGTCCAACAGCAGAAGGACCTGGAGTTGCTGGAGTAGATCCAGAGGAAGCCATGGAGATGCTCCAAGGGATAGAGCCAGGCTGGGAGAGCTGGGAATGTCCAGCCTGGAGAAGAGAAGGATCCAGGGAGACCTCAGGGCCCCTTCCAGTGCCTAAAGGGGCTCCGGGAGAAGGACGTGGGACAAGGGATGGAGGGACAGGACACAGGGAATGGTTTCCCACTGCCAGAGAGCAGGGATAGATGGGATATTGGGAAGGAATTCTTCCCTGTGAAGGTGGTAAGGCCCTGGAATGGAATTCTTAGGGAAGCTGTGGCTCCCTGATCCCTGGAAGTGTCCAAGGCCAAGTTGGATGGGGTTTGGAGCAACCTGATCCTGTGGAAGGTGCCCCTCTCCATGGCAGGAGTTGGAATGAATGATCTTGAAAGCCCCTTCCAACCCAACCCATTCCACAATTCCACGTTTCAGTGTCCATCCACGTGCTTTTCCAGGCACATTCCCCATCAAGGCTGCTCAGTTTTCCCAATTTGCCACTTGTTTGCCCTGGTTTGAAAAGAAATCAGGAGCAGCAACAACAACCCCATACTGTGCCCAGGCCAAACAAAAACCCTCTTTGTTTATTCCAGACATTGGATTCCAGTGGAATTCTCGTTAGGAAATGAGCAGTAATGGCTTTCTGCACTAATTATAGCTCCTGGAGCTGTTTGTTCCAAGGAAAATGTGGGTGCTAATTCCCTGCCTTGCTCTCCTGGTTTTCATAACTTCCTTTGCCTGTTTTCCTCTCCAGTTAATGATTGATTAATGAGTTACCAGCAATTTGGGGGAGTAATGAGAGGGGGCTGTTGTGTTGGTGAGGGCTTGATCATGCCTTGCCCACTCAACTTCCAGGGTTCCTCTGAAAAACAGGAGCTGGAAAAATAAGATGATTTGGGGTTTTTTAGCACTTCTTCTCCTATGCTGCCATTCCCAAATCTTTTTGGGAAGAGCATTTTTCCATGTGGAGTCTCCTAATAGGAGCAGCACCAGCCCAGGGCAAGGAGCTTCTTCCTTTTAATCTCCACTCCACAGGATCCATCCAAGATTTATAATCCAACCACCAAAGAGGTTCTTGTCTTCTTCCAGTGAATCCATCAGCGTTCCCATGATCCCTCTGGGACTCAAGGAGACCAAGGAGCTGGATTTGCTGGTACCACTCAAGGTGAGCTTTGCGTTTTCACGGATCGATGCTGAAGCAGCTGAAATTAATTTTCCCATTTAGAAAAGCTACCAACAAATAAATTCATGGAAAGGAGCTGGACTTAAAATATGGAAAAGTGGGAGATGAAGGTCTGGAGATGCTGGAAAGCAGAAAAGGGACGAGATTATTACTTAGTGGAGGTTTTCTTGTGGGCAGAAGTGGAAAATTCTTACATGAAATTGCCAGAAATCTCCCTTTAAATAATAAAAGTTTGGTTTCCCAATCCAGGATTTCATCAGTGAACACTATGGAGAGGAGGGTGTCCTGTATGAAAAGGAAATCAAGGAATTCATGGAGCTGCGACAGGTTGGTGTCCCTTGGCTTCCAAAATTTGGCTTGTCCAGGATCACTCCTTGGAGATGTCACATTTCCATTGGGGGTTCCCCTCATCCTTTCTCCAAATTCCATATTTGTCCTTGTATTTCAGGGTGCAGCATTCCCATGCTGGAGCACCTTGGACTTGGTTTATAGGTTCCAAAATATTACAGATTATTCAGGAACTGTTCATTTTTCCGTATCCTCATTGCCCTGCTGACCTACAAATGAGCAGCAATAAAATTTATAGTACAATCATTATTTATAGATATTAATTCACCCCTGGCAAGGCTGAACAACTTCTCTCTCTCCAGGTAGGCCTTGGAGAAGAGGGAATTTAAAGCAGTCTGGGAAAGGAGGAGAAAAAAATCCTGTTTATTTCCTAGGATTTATAAAATCAGAATTTCCATGAGTTTTTCCAGCCCAACTCCCAGGCTGCTGCTTCCACATTTGAGTGTCCCAGCACCCAGACTTTCCCCATGATTGAAACTCAGAATCATGGAATAGTTTGGGTTGGAAAGGCTGTTAAAGATCATCCAATTCCAACCCTTTCCATGGGCAGGGACACCTTCCACTGTCCCAGGCTGCTCCAAGCCCCACCCAACCCAGCCTTGGACACTTCCAGGGATCAGGGAGCCACAGCTTCTCTGGGAATTCCATTCCAGGAATGGAATGGAATCACCACCTTCACAGGGAAGAATTCCTCCCCAATATCCCATCTATCCCTGCCCTGTGGCAGTGGGAAGCCATTCCCTGTGTCCTGTCCCTCTTGTCCCTCTTTTCCCATCCCTGTCTCCTCTCCCATTCCCGCAGGCCATGCGCACCCCGAGCCGCAACGAGGCCGGATTGGAGCTCCTGATGGAATATTACAACCAGCTCTACTTCCTTGACAGCCGGTTCTTCCCTCCCACCAAAACCCTGGGCGTCTTCTTCCACTGGTGGGTGCAGCTTTCCCTGTCCCGCCTGGGTGGGGAAGGGAGTCAGGATCCAAATTTCCATATGGAATCTCTGCCACGGCTGGTGGACACCTGGATTTGGATTTGCCGTTGCCTTGGGTGGGTTAATTTGGGGAGGGAGAGGGAAACACAAATCCCATGGGGGATATACCATGATGGGAATGGTGTCTCCAAGCCCACCTGAGTGCTGAAAACTCTTCGGGCTCCTCCTGCATCCATGGGAATCATGGAGTGGTTTAGGTTGGAAAGGGCCTTCAAGATCATCCAGTTCCAACCCCCTTTCCACGAGGGAGAACACTTTGTGTGGACCATGACAGGAACACTTTGGGGACCGTGACCAGGGGATGGGCAGCTGTTTTCTCTTCCCTTCTCCAGGTACGACTCCCTGACGGGGGTCCCATCCCACCAGAGGGCCCTGGCCTTCGAGAAGGGAAGTGTCCTCTTCAACCTCGGAGCGCTGCACACCCAGATCGGAGCGCGGCAGGACCGCGCCTCCCTGCCCGGCCTCAACCAGGCAATCGATGCCTTCCAGAAGGCAGCTGGTAAGTGCCTTCCCCTCTTCCTCCTCTTCCCAAAGGTGGGAATGGTCCACGGAAGCTCAGGAAGGGGTGGGAGCAGTCGTAGGAAGAGGTGTTCCCAAGGGATCACAAATAGAGCGTGAGGTGGCTCCACGTTGGTTGTGTGGGTTGGGAAGAGGAGTTGGGATGATCCAACAGCCAAAAAGGATATCCCCCAAAAGAATGACATCCAAAAGGATGTCCCAGCTGTGGAGAGGAGAGATGCTGATCCATCTCCCTATAGAAAAAACAGAGCCTGGAACTGGGTTCACCCAGGGCTTTGGAGAAGGAATTGGGCACAAGGATGGTTTAGCTGGCAAGGGTTGGACCTCAGATCTTCTCACCCACCACTGACATCTCACCACTGGTGAGATGTTTGATATCCTTGCAGGGCAACCTGTTTTTGGAGGGAAACCTGCCTGATCCCAAAGTTTGATTCTCTTCTTCACAAGCCTGGTAACTTCCAGGAGCTTCTCTCTGTCCTCCAGGTGCCTTTAACTACTTGAAGGAGAACTTCTCCAATGCTCCCAGCCTGGACATGAGTTCAGCCTCCCTGACCATGCTGGTGAGGCTGATGGTGGCCCAGGTCCAGGAGTGTGTCTTTGAGAAGATGACCTTGCTGCGTGCCCAGAACGACTTCCTGTCCCGCCTGCATCTGGCTCAGGAGGCAGCAAGGGTGAGGATTCTGGGAGGGAGAGGATTTGGTGGGATTTTGTGGTCCCTGCTGTCACCGTCTCCTGAGGGACATCCTGCATTCCATTTCTTCTCCCTTCCCTCTTCCCAGGTGGAAGATGTTTATTCCCTGGTGCACCAGACCATGAGCCAGCCCCACGTCAAGGACTACGTTCCCTTCTCCTGGACCACCATGGTCCAAGTCAAGTCGGAGCATTTCAAAGCCCTCTCCCATTATTTTGCTGCCATCGCCCTCTGCGACTGCCCCGGTGAGTGTCCAGCCTGGAGGGAGCTTCCTGCTCATCCAAGTACTAATTCCACTTTATTCCTGGGTTTTGGAGAGGGATTCCCAAAAAAAAAAAAAAAAGAGGTTATGGATACAAAGTTTTTTGAATGCTCTGAGTTGTGAATCTTCTTTGTGGACTCAGCAATTCATCCCCAAGGCGTATTTTTCCATACTTCTGGTTTCCACAGGGAAAAATCCTTAAGAAGGGGAGGAAAAAGCTGCTGGAGGGATGTCACCTGCTGTCCCCATCAGGGCTGGGTGGGGAAATAAGGGTCACCTGCCTGTTTTGGGTCACCTTGTGTTGGGCCAGCTGAGGGCTTCAAAAATGCAAAAATAAATCCAAAAATACCTTGGATTTGACTTCCGGCCTCATGGATGGGTGTCCTGGGACTCTCAGGGTGGTGGCAGCAAGGTACACATGGTTCCATGGAGTCACTTGGAGCCTGACTTCAAGACGTGACCCTTGATCTCCATCTCTGCCACCTCCAACACCCTGGGAACAATTTTGGGATGTAGCAAAGGATCCGGGGGTGGGCAGCAGATGCTCCTGGTGACCTTTGGTGTCACCTGGTGGGTGGCTGGTGAAGATTTTTGAGGGCTGGCTGCCAAAACCAGTGCTGTGACCAGTGGCTGCCAGACTGTCCTCACACCCTCCCCCGCTCCAGAGCCTGCCCAAAATCTTCCTTGTGCCATGTGGGCGTTGCAGAAGCTGGGTTGAGCAAGGAGATGGGAGAGAGGGGGATAGTGTGGAGCTGGAAGGGCTTAAAGATCCAAACAGGAGAGGATGGTGATGGAGCTGGGATTCCAAGGGAGCTGGGTACCAAGGGGCAGGGCAAACCTTCCCCTTAAAATTTTTGGTGACCTTAGGCACTGTGGGAAGCAGAAATCTGCAGGAGATGCCTAATTTAGGAATTTTTTTGCCTGCTGTTGGGAGCTCATGTTCCTGTTCACACTTCTCCCTTGTCAGAATAACAAATGTTTTGCTTCCATAACCAGCTGGGAATAAATTCCTTACGCTGCAGTTTAATCCCTCAGGGATGCTGACATGGCAGGAGCTGGCACAGGGAGACCCAGCCCTGGAGCTGCCAATTCCCAGCCCTCTGGATCCCAGTGCCCACCAGGCTTTGAGATCCTCTGTTTGGAGCAACAAAACTCCCTGGAACATTCTGGGTTGTTTCTTATCCCAATCTGTGTCCAGGGAAAGAGGCTGCTGTGCAGCCCTAAGTGAGCCAAAGAGGATTAGGAACAACTTGGGCTAGAAAAAAGGGTTAAAAAAGCCTAGTGTGGGGTTTGGAGAGCCTGGGAGAGCTGCATCCATCTCTGTTTTTCCATGGAATGACATCCTTGGTTGCACTGTGGGATAGAGAAAAGGCTCCAGGGAGATCTTAAAGCCCCTTCAGGTGCTTCAAGGAGCTCCTGGAGAACTGGAGAGGGATTTTGGACAAGGGATGGAGTGCCAGGACACAGGGAATGGCTTCCCACTGCCAGAGGGCAGGGATAGATGGGATATTGGGAAGGAATTATTTCCTGGGAGCATTCCTGGACTGGAATTCCCAGAGAAGCTGTGGCTGCCCCATCCCTGGAATTATCCTGGGCCAGAATGGCTGGGGCTTGCAGCCCATTAGAAGTGTCCCTCCGTGTGGAAAGGGGTTGGAATTGGATGATCTTTAAGAACCTTTCCAACCCAAACCATTCCATGATTCCCTGATTTTGTTGTCTCATTTGTCTCCCTGTCAGTGATCCCCCAGGGCTCTCTATTCCCAATCCTGCTTCCACACTGGAGCAAAGGAAGGCAGGAAAGAGGAAAAAAAGCTGTGTTCAGGACAAATCCTGCCCTTAACTTCAGATCCTGGTGCATCCCTGCTGGGATCATCCCTGGCCCCATTCCTCATTCCTTGCAGGATGCGGTTGGATGACAGGAAGGTGCTGCCAGGGCCACCTGAATGTGGATGTGACCTCCTTGTCCCCACTGCCACGGGGGGCTGGGTGGCTCTGACCTCTCCCTAATCCCATCCCCATCCATTTCCTTCCCACAGCTCCCTCGGATGCCGAGCTGCTGGAACAGGAGAAGGCTTTCCTGCAATTCCATGTCACCATGCCAGAGGGGCCATCGCTTCGTGTCCTGCTGCAGGATCCCGAGGAGAGGAGGAAGCTGGGTGAGCACAGATTTCTGGATCCCATCACAATTCCCACAAATGATGAGGTTTTAGGGGGGATCTCTCTATGCAGAGAGGAATTTCTCAGGAGATTTCTTCTCCTGGGAAGCAGGAAAGCATCACAGTCCCCTTGAGGGTGTGAGGACCAACTCGTGGTGCTTGTCCCAACCTGTCCAGCTCTGACAGGAAAAATTCCAGGTGTTCCAAGCCAGGTAACATCACCCAACACTACACAGAAATCCACAGGGACACAAAGATCCTGGAAGCTCCTTGGTTTGGGCTGACTTGGCTGGAAAACAAGACACAGCAGATGCTCAGGGGGTGGCTTTTTCAGCTGCAGCGAATTCTTGGGAGACAAGAACTTCTTCCCATGCAGGATTTCAGCTCCAGGGAAAGAACAGACGCTGCTTATTCAGCTGAAGTCGTGTTTTGGCAGCCCCTCCTCAACAGGGCTGCACCAAGAGCAAACTCAGCACTCAGAATTTGGGGTGTTGCCTCCCCCAGGAGCTCTTGTCCCTCCTTGCACACGTGTGGAAGGAGGCAGATCCCACCAGGAATGAGTTTGGCCTCAGCAAAATCCTTCAGGATGCTCAGCCAGGTTTCACTGGAAACCTCCAAATAAACTCCAAAATCCAAGTGTTTTATGGTGACAGCACCCCAACACACTCAGATGTGGTTTGCATCAGCTTTTCCAGCTCTGCCTGATTTTCCTGGGGAAAACAGGCTCTGTTCAACATTCCTGGTAAAAAATAGATGTGCAGGCACCAAGCTCAGCTTGGATTTGGTTTGCAGGAAGGGAAAAACCCAGAGAGGTTGTGGATCTCCATCCCTGGAGGTGTCCAAGATCAGGTCACACAGAGCTTGGAGCAACCTGAGATGTTGGAAGGTGTCCCTCCCTGTGGAAGGGGGGGTTGGAATGAGATGAGCTTTAAGGTCTTTTCCAACCCAAACCATTCCATGATTTTAGTATTATTATTATTATTATTATTATTATTATTATTACCCATAATTTCACAATTTATAGATTTGATAAAAATTCTCAGTGGGGGGAATCTCCTCTCTGTTTTCCATCCAACCCCAAAACATTCCCTCGGTATTTAAGTTCCTCTGGCTGTGGATTCCGGGAGCCTGGAGCAGACCTCATCTCCCTGGATTCTGTTGCCACCGTGTGTCCTGAACGTGAAATGCCACAGGCACACGTGTATCCATGAGACACACACGGAGAGAGCTTTTCTGGGAGTTCAGCCTTGGATACGGCTGCCTTGGTTGCAGTTTCCCACGGAGGAGATGCTTTGCGTTGATACCCGTGGGTCACTGGAATTTCAGCTCCTCTTTCCCGACCACTTCCATTTCCCGAGGGTGGGAACGCGCTGAAGGCAAGTGGAGAGGAGCAAGGAGCAGAGGATGGAGAGCAGAACCTTCAGGACAAGGATAAAGGCTTAGCCTAGAAAACAGGGATGTGTTGCACCTTCCCAAGGAGGACAGGCCTGGGTTGTTCTCCGTGTTCCCATTCCCGAGGGATCCGAGGCGATGGAGAGAAGTTAATTTGCTCAGGAGATTGAGGTTAAGCGTGAGGAGGGACGTCGGGGGTGGTTTTTCAGGAACATCTGCCAGCTCTGCTGTCAGGGGAGCGAACTAGGTCACCCTTCAAGGTCCCTTCCCAGCCCTCCATCGGGCTGGGACCGACCCCATTTAGGGCTGGGAACGTGACTGGGCTGTCCCTGAGTCACAGCAGGGTGGTGGCACCGCTCCTGAAATCCGTGGGCAGCCGAGCGGGAACGGCGCCGGAGCTGCTGCTCCGTCGGGCTCAGCTCCCTCTGCTCCCTCGCAGGCAAAGCTCACCTCAAAAAAGCCATCATGAAGCACGAGGAGGCCATGAGGATCCATGGATTGTGCAAGATCCTAAGGAAGATGGATATCCTGCAGGAGGTCCTGTCCTTCGCCCACAAACGCTCCCTGAGCAAATATTCCGAGATCGACCACGAGGAGGATTTCTTTGAGACGGGAGAAGCTCCGGACATCCATCGTGAGTGGGGGGTTTTTGGGATTGTGGGTGGGGAGGGGGTTTGTGGGTGGAAAGGACTCCATGGGGAATTGTGCTATGGAGGGGGGTTGGCCTGGATGATCTCTGAGTTCCAATCTGAACTATTCCAGGATTTTAGGTCCTGGCTCTTACGGGATCATGCTGTCCCTCTTTGGGATGGCAGCAGCTACCCCAACTGCCTGAGGTCACCCCCATCTGTGCTTTTCTTTCCCTCCTATCAGCCAAAACGCACCAGAAACCCGAAATCAAATCCCCCAACTTCTCCCAGGTGAAGGTGACCGACCTCTTCCACAGGCTGGTACGTACAGCTCCAGGAACGGGAATATCCCGAGGGAGCAGCCGTCTCCTCCTCCTTCTCCCCTGCATGCTCTGCTTGCCTGGATTCCTTCCTCCTGCAGCCTCTTCTCCCTCTCTCCAGCAGTTTTGCAAGGAGGAGCAGCAGGAGGAGGGCTGGGATCTGTGTCTGTGACACAAATGGGTCACAAAGCTCATCTGGTGACAGGGGAGCAGGCACGGGAATTTTGGGTGGGCTTTTCCCAAGACACCCTTGGGAAGAAGGGTTTCGGTGGCAGGAAGCACCAGGAAAATCCCACTGGAGCTTTATCCATGCCCTCTTTAGGTTTTTAGGGTCCTGGGGAGCAGGACGGGGATTCAGGACAGTGGTGGGATCTGTGGTGGGATCATCCCTGAGTACCCCAGGGAGAGTTTGTGCATCTCAGCCCTAGGGCAGGCATGAATATCCTGCTCCTGTAAGAATGGAAAAGCAGAAAAAGAGGGGAAAATGGGAAAGAATTGGGGAAAAGTGACCCTGAACTAGTGACCTGTCCCTCCACCCTGCTCCTGGACCAACCCCTGGTGGCATCCCCCAGATCCAGACAGCTTCAGCCTCCATCATTTCTTCTTGGATGATGGGACTGTTTTCCCTGCAAAAGACAGGATTTCTTCCTCTGCCCCCTCCCCATCCCTGAAATGGGGTTTTTTACAAGGCTGCACAGTTCCAGGGAGCTGAAAAGATGCATTCCATGTTTCTGCCTCATCCCAGGGCCCCCTCTCCGTGTTCTCAGCCAAGAACAAGTGGTATCCAGCTCGGAGAGTCCACCTGATGAGAGGAGAGAACGGCTTTGGATTCACCTTGCGAGGAGACTCCCCCGTCCTCATTGCTGGGGTCATCCCAGGGGGCTGCGCTGCTGTGAGTATCCCAATTTCTTGCTATTCCCATGGGAATGCCAGAAGGGAGCTGCCTGGAGGGATTCCAGGTGTTTTTAGGTCTTAAAAGAGTTCAGGAGGAGACTCATCCCTGCTGGAGCTCAGGCTGGGGTTTGCAGGTGGGCGTCATGAAATGATTAATTTTTAGGAGATAGCTAAGGAGAAAACATGGAATTTTGCTCAGTTTTTAACTGCTGGAAGCCCATCCAGCTCCCTTGTCCCTTGTGTTGGGATGTGACAGTGGCTGGAACAAGATGGCACATCCAAAAAACAGGGGCAGCTTTGTTTTCCATCAGAAGATGCTGGAGAATCCTGGTGGGATGCCCTAAGTACCAACCCATTCCTCCAAATCCCAGCATCTCTGGAACAACACTCTCCTTAGCAGCAGGATCGCATCCCTCTTTGGAAAACTCAAATCTCCCCAAAGACTGGGATGTGGACAGGATATGGTCCATATCTGGAGCAGAGTTGTGTCTTCTCCTCCGCCTGGAGAAGGGAAGGCTCCAGCGAGAGCTTGGAGCCCCTTCCAGTGCCTAAAAGGGTCCAGGAGAGCTGGAGAGGGTCTTGGGACAAGGGATGGATTACCAGGATGAGAAGAAATGGCTTCCCAAAGCCAGAGGGCAGGGTTAGATGGGTATTGGGAAGAAATTCCTGGATGTGGGCGTGGTGAGGCCCTGGCAGAGATTGCCCAAAGAAGCTGCAGCTGCTTCATCCCTGGAAGTGTCCAAGGAGCAACCTGGGATAGTGGGAAGTGTCCCTGGTGGGACTGGATGATCTTGAAGGTCCCTTCCAAACCATTCCAAGATTCTCTTGGACGTTTTCCCTCATTCCCTGCAGGAAGCTGGGCTGAAGGAGGGGGACTACATCATCTCAGTGAATGGCAAGGACTGCAAGTGGTCCAAGCACGCCGAGGTCGTCCAGCTCCTGAAGAGCACCGGGAAGGAGGGGGTGGACATTGGAGTCATCACCCTGCAGGGCTCGGAATGCCCCAGAGCCGTAAGTCACACCCCGCAGGAAACCACGGGATTCCTTGGAGCTCTCTGGGTGCTGCCCTGGCTTCACTCCCCTCTCCACCTTTCCCAACCAGGTGGACAGGAAGGCAGCAGTGATGTCCTCGGGATCTGGGATGCTGAAGAGCAACAAGGAGAACAGCAGGAAGAGCCTGATGAACAGCAAGAGCGCCAGCACGCTGCTGGTGTGGAGCAAGAAGAGCAAGAGGAGCAAGAAGAGCACCTACAGTGGTGTCCCCTTCACCGCCGTGGGGGACAACGAGGCCATGTACTGACCATGCTCCACGGTGGCCCCTGAGCTCCAGGACTGGCTGCCCGGGAAGTTTCCCAAGCCTGGCTGGGCTGTGAGGACTCCCAGACCCGGGAATGCGCCGCTGGTCGGATCCGCGCCGAGAGGTGAGCGAGGCACCTCCACCTCCCAACTCCTGTGTCCAACAAGCCCCTCAATCTGGGGGAAACTCGGGTTTTTTGTTAATTTTGGGATTTTTTTTTTTTTTTTTTTGCTCTCAAGGGGGTCGGGGGGAGCTGTGCTAAAGCAGGGCCCGGTTTGTGTCTTCTGCTTGGCCAAAGCCAGCCCCAGCCATTAAAGCAAAAGTGTCACCTTCTGTAGCATCTCCTGGGCTTTCTCTGCGAGGCACAAGATGGAGCTGCTCTCCAAGAGCTGCTGGAGGAGCTGAATCCTTCAGCTGAATCCTTTCAGGCTCCCATTTTTTTGGGAGAGGGGACAGCACGGGCATGGATAACTTGTGGTGATCCCATCACAGGGTCCAACCCAGGCAGCATCTCCCAGGTGGGGCTATCCCAACAAAGTAGGATGGTTTGATCATTTTTAGTGCTTTTGGGGTGGTTTTTTTTGGTGGAATGAACCCCCACCCTGACTCAGAAAATCCAGCCCAACTGCCCAGCCGGATTCTTTGGAAGAAAAGGGAAGGACTTAACGTGCAGTTGTTGTCTGGCTTTTTTAATCAGGAGACGTGGATTGCCCTAAATATTCTGTGAGGAGATTAATAGCTAAGAGCCTTGGGAGGGGGGGGTTTATTTTTCCTGGGAGGAGATTAAAATTCCAGGAAGATATCTCCTCCAGATATTAAACTCCTAAATTTGTGCTACTGTTGGATCTTGCACATGTTGCTAATTCCCTAACCCTGCTGTCAGCGTTCCTGGGCTGGCCTGATGGATCCAGGCATCTTGGTAATTGTCCTGGAAACACTGGGAGACTCTGAATCCACAAAACAGATTGGCAAAATTTCCTCCATCCTATTTCTGCCTGGTGTGTTGTTTTTTCTGAAGGCTGAGGAGCTGTCTGGTCTTCAGTGCTTGGATGATCTTGGGAGGTAGAAAATTCCCTTGGGAGAGATGGGATTGTATTTTTGTACTTTTTAAGGAATTTTTAGGAGTGGTTTAAAGGAGCAGTGGGATCTTGTGGCCACAGTATCCCCTGGGATTGTGACTTCTTCTAGTGGCTCCTTGTCCATTTTTTCCAAGCTCTTAACCCTGATTCTATTTAAGGAAAACTTCCAGGAAAAAAAACACCAGGTTGGACGGGGTTGGAGCAACCTGGGGTGGTGGAAGTTGTCCCATGGCATGGGCTGGAACAGGATGGGCTTTAAGATCCCATCCAAGCCAAGCCATCCTGGGACTTTATGAGCTCATGGATAGGTTTTTAGCTCTGCTGTTGTCCAAGAGGCCTCTCCATATCCTGAGGCATCACCACACCGTGTTCCGGATCCGCCTTCCAGCGCGGGGCCATCTGTAGCAGCCAAGCTTCCCACGTCATCTTCCCGGCTGCTTGGCGTGGGAGCGGGAAGGAAAGGAGGGGGCGGGGTCACAGAAAAGGCCACCTTGCCCTTAAAAACATCCCAGCAGCATCTTCCCACCATCCTAAAAACGTGGGATGCCACATGGACATCTCGGAGCTGGAGAGGGATTTATTTAGGAGAAGCCGTCGCCTTCCGCCCGCATCACCCAACCCCAGCGTTGGCGAAGGGGTTGTGTTTTGTGGGATTGGGATCATTTCCCTAATTCCAGGGTTTTATGTTGGGCTTGTTTTGGGTTTTGGTTTTTTGTTGTTTTTTTTTATTTTATTTTTTAATTTGTACATGGATTCTCACCTTTTATGGATTAAAAAGCACTGATTCAAATCCAGTTTGTAGCACTTTTGTCGGGAATTACGGGTGCACCACCCATGATGGGAAACAAGCCCCAGCTGATCCTCCTAAAGATTCAATGTTGGGTCATTTTTGGGTCATTCACAAATCTGGAGCTGTTGAGGTTGGGCGAAATCCTTTGGATCCAGCATGGGCTGCTCCCAGGAAAACCAAGGTCCCAGGCATCTCCATCTCCAGGGGGATGCAATGGGAGATGGTGGCTTTGTCACATGAATTCATGGAAATTATGTGGGAAGTGGAGTGTGGGGCTCAGGTTGGATCCCTTTGGGGCTTTTCCCCTGCAAAAGAAAAAAGGGAATTGGTGAAGAAAGTATTTTTTGCTTCACACAGCAGGTTTTAAACTGCTTTTTTGGTTCCATAAAGGGTTTCTGATTCCTTTTATTTGTAAGAGTTCATAAATTGTAATTTAGGCTGGAAAGCAGCAAATCCTTGGCATGGGACCCCCAATTTTCCCATGGGACCTGGACACCACCTCCCCACCATCCTGGGAGGACTACCAAACCCATGGATTTGGGGCTGGATTATGGGAACACACATCCCACAGGAGAAAGGTGGTTTAAAGCCCCTAAAATGGGAAAGAAAAAACAAGGCCAGGGATTTTCAAAATTCGATTTATTTATGGAATGTGGTGGGAGCTTTTTTTGTCCTGTCTACCAAGCCAGGGTTAAAACAGCATCCAGCTTTTTTTTGTGGGGGGACATAATTTTGGAATTGAAGGAGTTTCCCCTTCCATCAGCCCTCCTGTGCCAGGTTTTAGAAGCCACCCACAGTGAAGTCGTTCTGCTGCTGCTGAAGATCCTTTTCCCACCCACGTTCAGTGGATGTGGGAAACTCGTGACTCCGGAGCTGGGATCGCCTCCCCCTCCGGTGACGTGTGCTCAGATGGGATCTGTGCTCCATCAGCAAGAGCCTGCTGCTCCTTCCCTCTTTCCTGAAATCCATGGAGCTGGATCTGTCCATGCTTGTCTTCTCCAGCTTGACCAGGAAGCAGAGAGGGTTCTGTAGGGTAAAACATGGTCAAAACCACAAAAAAATAGGGCAAAAATAACTTTACACTTAGCAAGAAATTGAGGTCTCTCTGTCCAGGAGCTCCAGGGAAATCAGCAAACAAGGAATGTTTGGATATCCTGGACTGGGACCAGTTCATGCAGCTCTTATGACCAGAGTGGAGATGGAAAGAGGATTTGGGGGATTTTTAAAATCACTGATGATTTCCAGGGCCTTTGAGTCAGAAAACAGCCTGGAAATCCCATCCTGAAAATCCCATCCTGGAAACCCACAGGGATTCACCCAAATTTCCTGATTTTCCTCCTCTTGGAGCTTCACCCTCCATAATAAAAATCTCCCAGCCCATGGACCAGCCCTTCCAGCCTGGTGGGAAGGGGATTTGATTCCCTCCTTCATTAATAACACAACACAAGAGGAGAAGGTCCCTGTGCTGTCCTTGTCCCTTCACATCCCACTGGCACCGTGACCCACAGCGGCTCCTCTGGAGCTGTCACTGGCTCCAAATCCATGCTCCTGCTTTTCCCTGGGGATAACAGAGGGAAAAGAGCCAAAGAGGGTGGATGTGGTTTGCTGGTGGGACACTGGAGCCAGGCCAGGTGCTCTCGCTGCTAATAAATCTAATAAGTTTGGAATTTTTCAAAGGGATCAGGGGCTGGAGCTGCCTCCAACCACTCCTGGTCCAGGAGCAGAGGGATGGGGCAGAGCAGGATTTCTCCTGCTCCAGGATTTCTCTGTGGGATTCCTTGTCCCCGGCGCCTGCTCCACCCCATGGGAAGGGACATCCTCAGCCCCACCCCTGCTTTCCCAAGCATCCGTATGGAATTCCAGCCTCCTCTCCAGCCTGAGCCCACTGGAGGGCAGCAGCGCCCTGTGCAATGCACCCGCTGCCCACAGCCCCCCCAAGTCTGCCCAGCCGGGCACCCCCCACCCACGCTGGCACCCAAGGCTGGGCACGGGTCTCCCTGGGGTGCTCTGGAGTCCAGTGCATCCCAAAAAGAAAAAAAAAAGGGGCATAAATAGTGGAGTTTGTCCCTATATCCTGAAAAATCCTGCTGGGAAAAGCATGCAAGGAGTGAAACCGAACATTTGTAGTGCAGCTACACCCTGAGCTTGCAGCAAACCCCATCCTGCGAAGGGCTGGAATTTTTCTGGAAGCAGTGGGAGCACCACCCTGCTCCTAAAAGCTGGAGCGTTCATCCCTCATCCCCCTGTGAGGGAATTGCCCCCCTGGGCTGATTCTAAAAGCTTTGCCAAGGTGTTCTCTGAGGTTTCCAAGGTCAACTCTTGGTCCGAGGTCCCCTCCTGGCCCAAGGTCCCCTCCTGGCCCCGTCCCCCAACACCTCAGAGGTACAAAATCCCTTCTGTGTCACCTCAGGTGGCAGAAAACACCAAGAAGTTCATCAGGCTACCAAGAGGGGCTTCACCAGGGGGGTGTGAAGCCACCAGAGCCACCGGGGCTGGGGGACTGGGAGCTGCAGGGGTGACACCAGCAGGTTCAGGAGTGACGATGGCACCTGGTGCGGCTGCACTAGAGGGCAGAGCTGGGACGTGCTGGATCCTGTTCCCCACATCCCTTCGTCACCCTGAGCCACCCTGGTCCCAGATTGTCATATGTGGGACACGGGTGTAGCTCCATGTCCTCTGGCCACCCTTGGGTGTCACATGGGCGGGGATTCAGGTGCACCCAAAGGTGCTCAGCTCCAGAAATTGTCCAGCTGGGATGAGAGAGGGACAGCAGGGACCTGCCTGTCCCTGAGGCTCCTCATCCTCAGCTGCTTCCTACCGGGGACAAAAGCTGGGATGGGGATAACCCCTTATCCCATCCCATGCGTGATCCATGGGGAGTACTTTACCAGCTTCTCATGCATGGGAACTTGGGGATAACCTGGGAATAACATCCTGTCCCACCCCGTCCCATCCCATCCCATCCCATCCCATCCCATCCCATCCCATCCCATCCCACCCCACCCCATCCCAATCATTCCCATGGATGGGAACAAGTGTCTCCCCTATGGAAGCAGGTTAGACCTGGCCCAGGTGGAGCTGGCCTGGCATCAAGACAGGGGTGGAGAAGGGAATCTCCTTGGATCCCTGTTTTCTGTAGGATACAGGTGGTTTTGAAGGGTCTGTGCTCTGTAGTCCAAAAGAGGAGGGAGGGCAGTCATGGAATGGGGAAATGGGTGATTGTGTTGGGAAGAAGGGAATTTTAAGGACCTGGAAGTCAGTGGGGACCCCATAATGGCTCAGAAAAAAC